TATAATGTTTATAACAGAGCTTTTTATTGGCCCAAACAACTTTGAAGTGACTATCTTTAAATTAGGTTTTAAATATTTTGAAGGTACATTTTGGTCAAGAAAAGAATACAGTTAGCAAAATTATGCCCGAACAAATGAGAACTAAAAATATTTAGAAAAAACTATTTTCGGATTAAGCTTTAGAAGTCAACTCACCTTTTTTAAAGCAGCTTAAAACAGATGTAAACCAACACAAAAAATACGTGTAACTTATTTTTCGATTTTCTATCAAATATTAAATTTTCAAAAAAAATCTGAGGACGCTTAGGGGGGTTTGCTTGTTAGAAGCATACACTTGCTAAAAAAGTCAAAAATTAAAGTGGCTTGAAAAAAAAATTCCAAGCAAATAATGTAACTCGTTAAGGATGTATAAAATATAATCAATTTAAAAAACTTTTACTTGCTAATACATGTACAAATGGACACAATTATATCCATACTTCCATTTTCATCGGAAAAGAAGATCCATAAAAAAATATACTTCTGTCATTGATAGAGAAGATATTTCTTCAACATTTTTGGTAGAGGGAGAGAGTCAACTCCAGTCTTCTTCGTGTGCCGTAATATTACATTCCGACATTCATTTTGTAGAGTTAGTGAAGCTGAAAACAAAAATAAATTATTTGTAGTCAATTTCAGATTTTGTACGACAAACGTTAGCAATATTTTTCAATCGAAACCAAAACCCGTCCATCTGTACAAATGGTTCAATCATTAATTGTGTTTTTTTTCTAACTTGCGGTTCGTTTGATATAGATGTAACTATAATGATTTTAATAATTAGAGGTGCTCATTTTTTAGGAACTTAATTCATTTATTCGCTTAGCACTTGAAAAGTAGCTGGAGTACTATCAGAAAATCAAAGGTTCCAGCCACTTAATTAATTTGAAGAAAATACTAGCTTGTAGAAAATAAAAAACGCAACCTTTCTTTTTTTACAAGTATTTTTTTTTAACTACAGTTTTCAAAATAAAAATCAACTAGTTTAAAAATATTGTAGTGTGTAATTCATGTGTGTATGCTTGATTATATTTCCGGGTGATACAGCTTGCGTTCGGCTGGTTGTCTGCTAATTATAACTTGGTTTGGATCATTTTAGGAGGGGATACGAGCAAAGCTCAGGATATGTGAGACGTTTTTAATCCAATAGAAAAATGTCTTGGTGTAATTGGTACTGTCCCTGAACATAAGCAGCACATTCTAATTAAAGGTTCTTTAAAAAGCCAGATAGAAATAGCTAAGTTTAAAAAAGATTGTAGATTAAATGATTTGAAAGTTAGAGAAGATAGCTTTAAGAAAAAAGTACCAGACTTTCAAAAAGACACGATGCGCGCAAGAAAAACTTAAAGATAGAATTTAAAAAAATCAATTGGAACTAAATAAACAATAGATTAGACCAACACTTCAATTTTTCAGGGAGCACTTAACGGGTTCTCAGTGAACACTGATACCAACCCGAAAATAATGGGACTTGGTATCACTGCTGTAAGTATAAATGAGTACATAAATATGATGTGGACTGCAAGCACGATAATGGATATATATGTATAACTGCATACTAATACGACGACTTGCTCAGTACTTTACGGAATATCTCGAATTTTCGTAGGGTTACCTATATTTTTCAAGGTACCATCTGAATGCTGAGACTTTTCTCTATAAAACAGTTACTGCCCTAATATATAAATCCTCCATTATGGTTAAAAAATTATCATATTTTAACGTTGTTCCATAAGAGGTTGTGAATGATGTGTAAACTTGTGAGAGCAATTATCTCGAAATTTTTCTCGGTTAGATGGGTAAATAAAGACACTGCTGGAATCAGCAGATGCTTATCTACTAGTATAACTACTTACGATCTCTTAACTTTTCCCGCTGGAGTCCCCTTAAAAAGATCTTGAGGCTCTAAATCATTAACTAGAGCAGGACAGAACGAGGAAATATGCTTGAATGTCAATTAAGATCCAGAATCAGGCAGCTAGAATTAAGTCAGTCAAGGACAGCCAGATTCTAGAATGTCTGCAGTTCAGAACAGAGCTCCGAGCAGAACTACAAGCGGAGCTTGATCAGCACTTCACAGAGCAGCAAAGGCAAAGATTGTATTTGTAAATAAAGATAGCCCGAGTAATTTTCATTATCCTCTCATAAATCAAAGATAGAGATACTCCTGCGACAATTTCAATCCGAATAAAAATATAAGAAATCACTTAATACCATTGACCAAAACAAAGAAGCTAGCCCAAATGTCACATAAGAAAAAATAGATCGAGATAAAGGACAGAAATTCAATCTGATATTAGGTAAATAAAAGGAGTAATAACCTTCCTCCATATTTAATAAGAAGTGAAAGTTTATCAATGAGGATTAAATAAATTGTAAATACAAGATCTACTCCAAAGTACGACGTTTCGCTGGCCATAGGTTTGCCAGCCTTATCAAGCAAAACTTATTCACTGTTATACATACAACAAACCACATCATTATAAAACATAAAAAACAACAACAATATTTGATAACTATAACTATAAAACTTTGTGAGAGTTATGGAAACTTGTGTCGGCAATGAGAGGGTCGACGAATGAAATGCGCAGAATCACACAAACTCTTATAGTGGAAAGTAAAACAGTATATTAATGTCAATAGAGTGTACATACAGAGGTAGCTTGCGCGTGAGATGTGACCGACCGTGAGTAGCGACGACGAACAACTAACTGTAGCAATAAAGAAAAACTAGGTGCCAGTAAGGGAGAGGTAGGTCAGCGTCCTACATCGAGTTGCCAATGACTCGAGAGGATACTGGAAAGGCAGCGGCACTAGGATGATATGTGGCTCGCGTTTTTAGTTTTAACACTTCCTCTTAACGTCCCCTTCGGACAGCTTTTCTCCAAACTTTCGGAGTCCGAGGGACTCCACGCAGGATAGTTGTCTTTCCTTAGATATTATCTTGATTAAGACGTTGGCAGGCTAGGTGTTTTTTTTTTTGATCGGATGCTAGGTGTTCCAAAGTGATGGCGCGAGACTCCACAATTTTTTCGTACGAAGCGGGATGTATGTCGATGTGCTTGGTGAGAATATGGAACACCAGATTTAAGGCGAATTTTTTGGCACTGAAGTTGTCATTATACAACACAATTTTTGTGGGGCAGAATGTATTCAACTCCAGTAGGAAATGTCGTAGGTGTATGGCTTCTTTTGCTGCATCGGCGAGTGCCATGTACTCGGCCTCGGTGATGGATAAGGCTGTAGTAGGCTGCTTTATTGATTTTCAGCACACTGGCCCTCCACTGGCGATGAACACGAACCTGGTGAATGGTCGCCTGTCGTTCAGGCAGTCTCTGTAGTCCGCGTCTACATAGCCGGCGACGAAATTCTCCCCGATGCAGTATTAGATGCCAAGGTTTGCATATCCTTCAGGTATCGTAGGGCTCTCTTCGCCGCTTGCCAGTGCACCTCTCCGAAGCAGTCATTGTACTAACTGAGGCAGCTTTCAGCGTGAATGACGCCGGGCCTGCAGGCTCTTGCGATGTCAAGTAGGCTGAAAACGAGTTCTCGATAGGGAGATTCTTCGGAACGTTCGTTATATCCTTCCTTCGGAAGCCTGGATCCGCCCCATATTGGTGTTGATACACGGTGAGATTCAGCCATGCCGTATTGCTTCAGTAGTGACTGAATGTGCGTGCGTTGATAGATGAGTATGTACTCACCGCTTCTGACGAAATCGATTTCCAGGCAGAGTTGGGGTGGTTCACGGTCCTTCATTTTAAAGTTTTTTGAGTAGCAAAGATATAGTTCCTATCGCTTTTGAGCTTCATCCAATCATCAATATTTTTTCCACGTAAACTACGATGATCATCTACCTTTCCCCGGGGTTCAGCAGGTACACGCATGAATCCCCGGCTGTCAGAGTGACTCCGATTTTGCGTAGTTCGACGTCTAGCCGTTTGTACCATGCACGCCCCGTCCGTTTTAGCCCGTTCAGTGCCTTTCCTAGGCAATAGACTTTGCCGCCTTGGGACAGACTTTTCAAGGCGTCCTTGGCCTTGGAGACGATTCGACGGTCGTGTCTGATGCTCTGGGTGAAATGCTTCAGCACAATGGGCAGCCCGCTTGGTACATCAATGTATGTACCCTCATCTAGTCGTCCGTTAAGGTACGACGTCACGATGTTGTACTGGCGTACGTGCTGATTCTTTTAAGCGGCGATGGATAAGTTGACTCTGATAGAGTCTAGACGGGCCATTGGAGCGAAAGTTTCCAGAAAATTCCTTCCATACTGCCAAGCTTCCATTCCATCCAAACTTCCTACTATGCTGTTGGCTTCGTTTCGGTTGATTAGGATCTAGGTGTCGTTTTTTAAGATGGAAGCCACTTTGTCTTTCATCACAGTGATCTATTCGTCGGAGTCCAGGTCTCAGTGGCGTGGTTCAGTTCCCTGGTAAATGTCAAGCTGATGTTGAGGAACGCGTCTTCTGTGCTTTCAATTTTTCTTGCTTTTTTCCTATCGTCGGGCTCGGTGGGCTCGTAGGGGGCTCTTCGAGGAACCTTACGTCTCGGGAGACCTCCACTTTTCGATCATCCGGAATCCAAATTCTATAGCCTTTGGTTTCCAGGCAATGGCCGACGAAGATACCCTTCTTGGAGCGTGGGTCTAACTTTCTCCTGGTGATCCACATGTACATGACGTGCACTTTACTGCCGAATATTTCCAAGTGAAATACGTCCAGAGGGTGCCCGTGCCATTGCTCATACGGTATTGTTCCTTCCAACCTTTTGGATGAGGATCAATTGTGGATGTAGTTTGCTGTGCTTATAACTTCTGCCAAAAAAGATTTCGGGAGTCCAGATTGAAACAAGAGGCAACGGGCCGTCTCTACAAGGGTCCTATTTCTTTGCTCTGCGACTCCGTTCTTCTCTGGGTTGTATGGAGCCGTAAGACGTCAAGATATTCCCTCCTTGTCGAGAAACGCGTTGAACTGCTTCTTCCCATATTCGAGCCCGTTGTCGGACTGCAGACGTTTGATCTTTTTTTTTTGGGTTTCTACAAGACCCGAGTATTTTTCAAATTCCTGTCGCACTTGGGTTTTTGCTTTAGAAATCTAACCTCGCTTTATCCGGACTTGTCGTCGATGAAGGTGCAGAAATACCTATTACCCGCGAGTGAGGGGTTCTGCATCGGAGACTTCAGATTGAACTATATCTGCTATCTCCGTCGTTTTCGTGGATGCCTTGGGAAACGGCTGTCTGCTTATCTTCCCCTGCATTCATATCTCGCATTCGAAATTCTGCTCGAGACCTGCGACGTTGATTCCCTTTATCGCACCACTCTTCACTGCCTGCCGGATGTAGGCTACGTTCTAATGGCCTAGTCGTGCGTACCTGTTACCTAGGGAATGCTTCCCTCCATTTACTTCGCTGTTGGCTACATTGCATTCTTCGCTCGCCCCTCCTTGCAAGTAGTCTAGATCGTTCTTCTGCGGTGCGGTGATGATTATTTTTCCCTTATCATTGACGATCTCTGCGTGCGTTTTACGGAATGTTACCTTGAGTCCATTGTCAGTGATCTTACTAACCAATGCTAGGTTAGTGTGTTAGTCTGGCACGA